GTAGCACCGGGGAGATGAACAGAAGTGTAAATTGTGTGGCGAGCTGCCGGCTCTGAGGTGAAAATGAAAAGTCTTCAGGCAACAGCGGCAGTAGGCACAGCAGGCTGGGGTGCCAGGCACAGCACCCAACCTCACTCCTTTACACGTTCCCGTTCTGCAGTCTTCCCCAGGCTCCTGCCCATGTCTGTCCCTCCCTGTGTAGCTCCTCTGTCATCATCCCCTGCTATTTAGGTGGCTCCTAGGCTGGCCCTGGGCTAAACCTAATTCTAAGAAGGTCTTGATTTTTTGCTTCTGTTGTGTTTTTCTAATTTGTTGATTGGCATACAAAGAAGTGGGCCATCCTTTAGTGATCTTTTGTTTACTGATGTTTATGGTAGGATCCATCATCCATTCTTTTGTGGTTTTCCACATATGCAATGCCTTGTCTTTAAGTAGTGGTGGTCCTCACTTCTCCTGAAATTATCTATTCTTCTACTTTATAATTGGAGATACAGAGACCCAGAGGAAAACCATTTACTTTCAGTAGCGTAGGTAAGATTCTAGATACCTGTATGGGGCTGTCCGTGCCACTTTGGTTTTTCTCCCTTCCTTGGCTGTCTTCTTTGCTTATACTTCCTAAGACTTTGGGCAGAGCTAGGGTGGAGTGAAGAGGGACAGGAAAGGAAGGAAAGAAGTACTCTAATCCTCCAGTTGGCTTTCCCTGCTGGCATTGGGGTTCCCCAGGACCTGATAGACGTTTAAGTTCTGGGCCAGAAGCTATTGTGAAATCTGGTGGAGATGGGGTGAGGGTGGTCTGTGGAGGGGGGAGGGAGGATGATGGAAGTTCCTGGGCAGAATAATAACAATGTGCTGTATTCTAGCTGCAGCCTCCCCGCTGTGCCTCCCCCAAGCACTTTGCACATGCAGTGCAGACCCGCCTGAGGGACCTGCAGGGTCTGATCCCCACTTGTGAGGACTTCTGTGTGCAGGCGGGAGCCTATTGGTGTCTGTGTAATTAAAAATGAGCATGCATCATTTCCCCAGCGAGGAGAAGCTTCCACCTCGGGTGGGATATAGCAGCTGCTGGCTGGCTTTGTGACTGCCTGTTTGTCCAGCTTGGTATAGAGCAGTGAGTAAGGCTGGGCAGCTGGGGTGACCAAAGAAGCCCACTGAAGCAAGAGGTAAGAAGAATGCATCAGGCAGAACTCATTTCTTTATGGACCTGGAGCTTAGGTCAGAGATGTGTGACCCAGTCCCTGACCTGCACCCATGGCTTCTCCATTTGGGGCATTTGAGTAGATTCTAGTCCCTCAGCAGTCTGGAGGTGGGATCCCCTTCAGTTTCTAGCCTGGCCTGACTGCTTCTGTTCCTTGACCTTCCTTACTTCTCGCTGAAGACAATACACAGGCTGATATTCTGAGAGCAAAGCACAAAATATTCAGATCCTGGGTCTTACCTACCCTTACCCCTGGATTCAGAAAGATCTACCTGTGGATCCTGAGAGGAAACCTTGGTCCATTATACCAGCCCAGCACCTGTGGGAGCCCTGGGTAGTATGGGCAGACACTTGCCCCAACCCAAGAGATGGGCTTAGCCTGAAGTGAAGCATAAGTTTCCAAGTTGCTGAGATATGTCCCTCGGTATGGTAACCTTGTATAAGGTGGTGAAGTGTCTTTTTGTCTCCCAGTACTTCAGGGTAGGTCGTCCGTGTAAGTGGAGGGTAGAATGAGAGTTATGCTGAAGTCTCCCTTTCTTATTTCTGATTCTGGAGGGCCTGGAGGTCTTCGTCTCTTCGGCCTTCGAGAGGACCTTATGGTCTGTACGTATGTGAATGAGCTGCTCTAAGGTAGGAGTTTGTCAGATAACCAGTAGCCTTAGTGGCCAGGAAAGATTTCTCTGTCTTTGCATTGCTTCTACCTAGTTACTTAGACTGTGGTATTCCAGAGCTGATTGGGATGTCAAACCTATCCAGGCTCCCTTTCTCAGCAATAATAGGTTCTTGTGGCATTGAGCTAGTGTCCTTGGCCATTAGCAGTCTGCTCTCCAAGGGCTCCCTGGGGCTAGCTGAGGGAGAAGCAGCTGGCCTCACCTTCCTCCAATGATTTTCCAATATTTCCTGGTTCATCGGCATGCTGTTTGGGCAGCAACTCCTGCTGTGTAGTGAGGACCCAGAAGTCAGCCCATGGCTACCCTCTTTTTCCCTGGAGGCAGCACCTGTCTAGCAAGGAAAAGGCTTATTCTGCCTGAATACTCAGGGACAGAGCATATGCTGGTTCTGCCCCCCTTGTTTTGTTTTCCCCCCAAGACAGGGTTTCTCTGTTAACACCCCTAGCTATCCGGGAACTCACTTTGTAGACCAGGATGGCCTTAAATTCACAGAGATCTGCCTGCCTCTGCTTCCCTAGTACTGTGATTAAAGGTGTGCGCCACCACTGCCCAGCCCCCTTGCTCTTTTATCCCAAGTTTTCACTAGATTCATTTCTGCTTAGTGAGCAGAGCACAGAGGGGAAAGTAGTCTCCCTTGAAGGACAAGGACAGCTACAGGCCCTTCCTTGCCTGAGGTCTAAGGTAGAAGTTTTACCCTTTTATCCTCTTCTTGCCCCTTTTCTGCTCCTGAGTCTGAATTTTGACAGGACCCAGTATGTGTTATAATGATTTGGGATTTTAATTAGCTTTATGCTTCCTTCCAGTAGGGAGAACAGTAGGTTAGGTAGCAAGGGCTGGGCCACTGCTGGATTCAAGTCTGAAGCAGGCCTAGGCAGTTAATGTTCTGCTCCCTGAGTAGGAGGCTGCAGAGAGGTAGGGGTGGCAGAGAACTGTAGCCAGGCCACAGTCTGCTCTCCATCCTCTGTCTCCCCTTTCTCTCTGTTCTCCCGATGGCTTTGAGATGAAGGCGATGGCAAGGATGGAGGATGCAGTTTCCATGGTAACAGGCTGTCCACAGCCAGGCAACTTCAGAGCTGGGCTCTCCGGAGGAGGCAGATGCGCAGAGCAGCCACAGAGCTGCCTGCCAATGAGGGGGCTGGCAGAACAGGTGGCACAGGGTGGCTGTTTGGTGCTGCCCACCCTGCTGCCCAGCCTGGAAGAGAGGGTGGAAGGAGCATTACCCCCTCTTCCCTATTACTGTCATACTCTTCCAGAAAGAAAGGTTGGGAGGTAGCATGAGTTTGGTAAGGGTCAAGTCTAGGGTAGGAGCCTCTTTGTCTCTGGCATCTCTGGATGCACACAGACTTTACTTTTGCTCTTGAGATAGCTGTGGTCTTTCTGATACTGGCAGTTGGACTTCTCAAATGCTCAGAGTCTGATGATGTCAGTGAATGTCATGCTCTGGCTGTATTTGGGGACTACTTCTTTTTACTACCGGGGAGGAACTGGACCTTCTTCCGGGAGCCCCCATGGCTTTAGCAGTTTGTTGAAGGAAGCACATGTTTAGCAGATACCTGTCCTCGGGTGCTGACTTTGGAAGAGTCCCAGAGCCTAGTAACTCCTACTTTTTGACAGTATGGTCTTTTACTTCCCTTACAGTACATTGTCCTCAGGCTTATCCTGAAAACCAGGCCTTCGTTAAGCATGTTTAGAAACAAAGGCAGCCATCAAAACAAAACAAAATGTTAAAAGGTTTGACCTGAGAATGGATATGGAAGAGATCCTGGAGACTGGCGTGAAAGACTGGAGTCAAGACTAGTAAGAGTGATGGCTGTTTCACTGACCTTAGAAGCATCAGGGCTAGGGTATCTCATCCTGTGTTTCAGTGCCTGGATTACTTGTGGAGATCGGATCTGAGCTGCCACTGACCTAGGCTGGGTCACCTCCCTCCACCTGGCCTCCTTGATATACTCTCTCTCTCTCTCTCTAGCTGGCACTGCAGGTCCTAGTTAGTCCTCCTTTCAGACTTCTCATCCTTCATTTTCCCCTCCATGGGCCCTTTTTAATTGGAGGAGGTTCCTCAACCCTTGGGTTGGACAGGCTGTCAGACAGGTGGAGTCCTGGAGTGGCTTCTCTGAACCAGGCGATAAGTCTCTCATTACTGTTAAGTGGAAAGCTCATTTTAGAGCTCATGGTGAGAGCCTGGCAGGTGCTATAAATAACCATGTTGTGAAGGTTGGCGGGTGAGCAGTGACAGGGCAGGGGCCTCACAGTTGTCTTGGTGGGTAATTGTGCCCCATCACAGGAAAGGGGGGGCAGATTCTACATCGAGAGACACTTGCTCCCTAATCTGGTGGTTCCTGCCTGCCTCGGGGCAACTCTGGCATACATCTGCTGCTTTGATGCACTAGGGTAAGAAATACCGATCTGTGTCTAGGTAAAGGGGAGTGGAGTGTCTGTCAGAACTGGGGCCCTAGAAGCTGGTACATTAGCCCATTAGGTAATAATATCCAGTGTCGCCTCATGTCTTTCCTACCTACCCTCTAGCTCAGATTCTGCTTCTTCTTCAGCAGAAACTCTAGGATGAGGTGTAAGGAAGTACAGGAGCCATATTTGATAGTTTCAGAGTTTGACAGACTTAGCCATGGAGATGTGGTAAAAGCAGTTTGTAGTAATATGTCTATACACAGGGGCTGGAGGCTCCAGCTTCAGGGGCACTGACCTCACCTGATATTTCTGTGTCAGTCAGCATTGTCTAGGGGAGAAAGGGGGATCAGGTCACAAAGTTCTATGATAAAAAGTCAGATAGATCAGATCTTGGCTTGAGTGCCTAAAGCCATGGTCCTAGCTATTTAGTCCTAGACAAACATAGGATTAGCAGGGCCAGCCCTCTTGGGATGTTTTAGCATATGACTTAAATTGCTGATCTAAGGATTCTTCGCCATGAGACCGCTGCTCCTGGAGTGTAGGGTCCTACGCCTGGAGTGCTCCTCGTGTTCCTCCTTCAGTAGGGGGTTGAAGCCTGGAAGAGATTGGGAGAGAAAACACAACTAGCTCCTCCAGAAGGAATAGACTGGAGATGGTTCCCAGAGTTCCCTTGGGACAAGTTGGTCAGGGCCCTGTAGTGCTTATACCACATTTTGCAACACTGGTAGGAGCGGAAGCTGTGTGCTCACCCTCGGCTGGAGATCTACCAGCAAGACCAGATCCATTTCATGTGCCCTCTGGCACGGCAAGGAGATTTCTACGTGCCAGAGGTGAAGGAGACAGAGCGGAAATGCCGAGGGCTTCTGGAGGCCAGTGACACCCAAGTGGACGGCACAGGTACCAAAGGTGGGAGAAAAGAGTGGGGGTGGAGCCCTGCCCAGAGTCCTTTTCTGCACATCTCAGGACACAGTTGAGGCTCCTCTGTATAAGGAGCTGGCATTCTAGGTAGACTCTACTTGGCAAAGGAGGGAAAGTGATACCTTACATCAGGACTCATATGCAGAATTGCATGTTCTCAGACATGTGCAGCCACATAAATGTGGATTCACACATGTTCTTCAGGTAACTCTGGCTGAATTCACTTCAGATGCAGTAGTAATTCTTAATGTCCTAGGCAGATGAGTGAAAGTCATCTGGGTGGGACTTATCTGGAAGTGGGGCTAAACTTAAGTCCGAAGGTAAGAAAGGAACCATGGTGTTCTCCAGTCTCCAGTATAGGACACCTTCTAGAGCCCCTGCCACCAGAGCCCAGGCCATGCTGGTAACTTGAATGCCCTAGGCTCAAGCCCACAAGCCATTTACCTGTTCCCACCGTCCTGCCGTGATCTTGTATGACACTCGTGGGCAAGAAATCCCCGTAACATGCCAGGTAATCCTAGGGGCCCCAACTTCTGACTGTTCTGTTATGTGTTATGTTAGTCAGAAATTCTAGGGGTGATAACAGGACTGTAGGGAAAGGAACTGTCCCTCTTTTTTACTTCTCTGGGAGTCTTTTGCCCATCCAGTTTTCAACAGCCAAGGTCACTCTAAAGAGGCATGTGTTGGCAGGGGCTGGTGCAGGGAGGCTACTGGGAGGCAGTCTCCTCTCCCTTGGGGCTTGTGTCCAACATAGTTAACTTCATCTGCCACTTAATTACCTCCATGGGGTACCGCTCCCTTCTGCTTGGTAGTGCCCGGCAGATACTCTTTCTGCCCCTTCTGTGGGCACTGGACATGGCACAAGGTCAGCAAGCCCAGGCAACCCCCAGTCGGAAGGAGGAGTGCCTTGACCTTCCTACAACCTTCCTCTGCTTCCTGCCTCCTTGGCCCACCCACCCAGTTCCCTTCCCTCCCAAACACTGCCTGCCAGGAGTGTTAAAGGACGACTTGGCACTCACTGCATACAGCTGGCTGCAGCCACAGCTCCCACACCCCTGCGGTCCTTGGCCTGTCCTCCCCACCCATCTGCCCGCCTACTCCCTACTGTGGGTGCTGTGGGATCTGCCCACTTTTGACAGAGGCTGTCCTGACTCCCAGGGCAGCCACTCTCCAGGTGCATGCCACTTACACAGCAATGCATGGTGGGTGCCTGGCCACCCAAGGCTTGGCCTGTCCTTCCTTGCCTCCCTGCTGGGGCCCTGACTTGGACTGGGAGGTGAAAGGGGGTGATTAGCTGCCTTGTGCCTGTTATTACATTGATGTATTATTTAGCTCCACAGAAGCGATGAATATTTGATCTCCTTGCATTGACTGTTGGCAGAGAAGAGGGAGGAACTGGGTAAAGGTGGTAGCTTCGCATCCCCTGCCTAACAGCCCTGGGAATTCAGATGCTCCTTTGCTTTGCCTAGGGTCCTCTTTCAAGGGACACAGGCTCAACAAAGGGACCTCCTTCTGTAGGACTGTAGGGGCACCACTACCCTGCCTTGAAAAGTTCTTTTATAAGTAGTGTCCATCTCTTCCCAGCAGCCATCTTCATCTGGACCGAAGGCAGCACTCCTGGGCTCTGTCCTCTGATCACTCTGAGGAGTGGGAAGGGAAGAAAATGGTCCCTACACCCAAGGGTCTTGGGTGAGCCATTAGGTAGATAGGTAGATAGAACTTGACAGTAATGGGGTCTGGGAGAAACTACCCCTCCGTTATGCCTTTCAGACCTGCAGCCTGATAACAGTGTGAGTGGAAGAAGAGCTGGAGTCCTGCCCCAGGGTCAGTGGGATTACCTATAACTCAGCGTTCCTCTGGCTTGCTTCTGTGGGAGCCACACCAAAGGCCTCAGAAAAGGAGAGGCCAGGACCAGTAGTCTTGAGCTTCCAGGGCTCATCTCACCTTTGTTAGGAGGGCCCAGAAGACAGAATGGATTATACTGCTTCACCCTCACTACCCTAGGCCCCACCTGAGGCCCTAGGATAGCTCTGGGCCAGTGCAAATACCAAGCAGTCTCCAACTGCTCCTGGCTCAAGACCTTATTACCTTGGAGACAGGAACTGGGTGAGCTAGCCTACCCTCCCCTTCTATGATGTTTAACAGATTTGACAGCTGCATCTCTTTACTTATACTTCAGATGATGTGTTGACCATTTCCCAATCTAGAGTCTTACACACAGTAGGCCTGGGCTGTTCGTTCCTCCTTCCCACCTTCCACCTGCATCCAGTGCTTCTAGTTTGTAGAAATGGGCTGAGAGGTTGCTCCTGGACAGGGTATACAAAGGACCACTTGGAGGAATTACAAGGAGTAGAGGGGACAGATTGAAAAGCATCAATGGTTGGAGTGGGGACAAGGTGGATGAGCATTCCCCTGGGTTCTGTCAGGCCTGTGAGGAGAAAATCTTTAAAATGCTTCATCCTAGCACTCTCCTTCCTTTTGACTGGGTGTTTCTCGGGATTTCTTCCTGCTCTTGCTTCAGCTCCTCCTTCATGGGGGATGCAGTGTGGTTAGGGGAAGGAGCCAGCTGATGTCCTGACTATCACTGCTCCTTCAGGAGGCTTTTGTGGGGGCATGGACTGGAGAACAGTTCTCTTGGCCCTTTCTTCAGCCCTCCTGCCTCACAGGCAGTGTTCTCTAGCTGTCCCTGGACAGACCACTCACGAGCCTGAAAATGAAGGGTAGAGCAGACTATTTGGGTCTCCTTTGTTGTACCCTCAGCGCGTCACCCTCAGGCTGAGTGGCCCTTAATGGACGCGGGGGTAGGGGTCAGTGGCTTCGTGAAAGTGCAGGGAACGGGAGCTAATTTAGGCTAGGGAGAGAAGTGCACAGCAGCTGCTCCTCCTGCTCTCTTCCACCCTTCAGACTCCCTTGACTCTATCAGGGCAGAGGGCAGAGGGCAGCTGGAATGGGCCTCCTGAGGCAGGGCGGCTGTATTATTCATGAGTGGACTCTGCGTGCTCAGTTCCTGAGCTGGTGGTAGAGCCCTTGCCCTGACCCTGAAGGAGGGACCTTTGACAATATGTGGGGGTTGGCTAACCACTGCTCCCTTGTCCTGGCCACAGGAGCGGACACAAGCGATACGAGCTCTATAAGCCTGGAGGTGCGCCCTGGCAGTCGGGAAACTTCAGCCACCACACTTTCTCCTGGGGCAAGCAGCCGTGGCTGGGATGATGGCGATAACCGCAGCGAGCACAGCTACAGTGAATCGGGTGCCAGCGGCTCATCTTTTGAGGAGCTGGACCTGGAGGGCGAGGGGCCCTTGGGGGAACCCCGACTGAGCCCTGAAGCCAAGCTTCTGGGGCCTACTCGGGAGCTCAGCACTCCTGAGAGGGGTGAGGAGTGACCACAAGCCCTCAGCCCTCCTGTGGTGCATTTGATAAGGAACTGAGCAAACTCTCCAGCCCCCTTTTCCTTAACCTGCCCAGCTTAGGCTGGGAGTACCAGGGGCCTAAGTTCTTCTACTCCAAGCCTAAACCTCTTCACTGCCCTTTGGCTCCCAGGGCTGAAGGAGCCAGAGACTGTTATCTGCACCAGCCTCCTGGGCTGCCAACTTTTTGCGGACTCATTGGAGCTTCCAGAACCCAGAATAAAGTGGAATTACTTTCTTGTTTCACCTGGATTTGAGTTGTGTGTTTGTTTGTTCTATGTTGGGTATAGACTGGCATTGGGCAGGAACACCCAAACCCCAAAGAGAAGGAACATGACTGAGAACTCTGACCAGAGGGATTTTGAAGGCCCTTCATCCCCTGTTCTATCACCCCAGTGGAGTCACCCCTGCATTACAGCAGCCATACAGGGTTCCCCTTGCTGCTGGATAGCAGAGCAAGGCGTGCCCTCCAGGTCTCAGGAGTAGGGAATTCACAGACTCCGTGCACCCCAGAGATGCCTTTGTGTCTGTAGTGTCCGTATGCCTGTGCTCATGCTGGGATCTTAGCAGCTGAAGAGACCCCTGCCGGGCCTGCCAGTGTCTTTGTTCCAGGATATGTGTATGTCTACCATGGGTGAGGCTGTGTCCCTGTGATAATACTTGGACATGGCTGTGTGTGGCTATGTGGGTATGTTGCCATTCCTTCTGTTTGTGTGGTCACATTTATATTATATGCATATTATATATGCAAGGCTAGCTAGATGGAGGCATTTATGTGGACTTTGTATATAGGTCTGTGTGTATGTGGTTATGTGTTCATGTGTAAAATGTGTGTGTTTTACTGTGTCTCCATGTATGAAGCTATGAGTGTAGCTTTGTTGTGTCCATGATTGCAGCTGTGTTGGGGTGGGCATGTTTGGCTGAGTGTCCATATGTATGTACTGCTGTGGCTGTGTGGCCAAGTCTGTGTGTGCAGCTGTATGTATATGGATGTATAGATGCAGATTTTTGGGTGTTGTCCACGTTTATAATTATGGCTACATTTATATATGTGCAGTTGTGTACATGAGTATAGCTGTGTCTGTCTGGTGAAATGTGTTCTTGCCTGTGTGCCCAGCCAGGAGTGGTGGTTACACAGCTGAGTGTCATCGGTGATCTGTGCTGCACTGGGATATTGCAGCTTGCTTGCTGCAGGCCATGTGATGGGCTTCTTGTGCTGCCTTTGTGTACATCAACATCTGTGTGGAAAGCCCCATATCTTCGGTGAGGCTGCCTTGGTGAGCCGGCTGGAAGTATGGCTGGGATCTCTCTGCAGTTTCTCACCTCAGCACCCTCCTGCTGTCAGCCCCTCTGCTCCAAGAGCCCGGCCTATCACTCACTCACCCCAGGGAGCAGTCATTCCGAGCCAGCCAAAGGGTGAGAGCAGCCGGTGGCAGAGCAGGATCTGAAAGATGGCGTGTCTGTCTCCCCAGCTTTGTCTGACAGCTCTGAACCCTCATCCCGCTACCACCTTGTCTCCCATTAGTGGTTGGGCTTGTTTGTTTGGGTTTGATGTGTCTGTTTTGTTTAAAAAGCTGTGTTCTTTACAGAGCAAAGGGGCATCTGGTTTCTGTGTCCAGAGAAAAGGCCTAGCTTTGTCATCCCTCCTGCCCCAGACACCACATGCTCATGTAGGGAGAGATGCCTAAGGGGTCTGGGCATGGCATTGTATCACCTATCCGAGCTGACCTTGCGTCCACTGACACCTGTGGAAGACAGGTCAACGCTGGAGGTTTGGGTGGGGATATTGTGCCCTGGTGCTTATTGGGATGTATAGATGTCAGGGCCAGATAGGACAAACTCAGAGGCCAAATCTGAGCATAGACCTCTCTCTCTCTAGATCCTTCAGCACAGCCTGGCACTACAGAGCTTATCCACCACCCCCTACTCAGGGGTGGCCTTCCCCATCCTGCTGTGGGAGGGAAGAGTCAAGAGCATCTTCTCAGAGCTGTCCTCCCTCTGCTCAGGCTCCTGCTCAGGTTCCAGCTCCTACGCAGCAGCCAATTCTTGAAGCCTTTCTCAGTCGCCTCCCCTTCTAACCCCCACTCCCTGCCCTTCTAACCCCTAACCCAGGCCCAGCAGGTCCCTCAGGAATTCCAGTCCTTTACCCTGAAACCCCTCCGTCCCCATGGCCTGTCACCTCTATGATAAATGCCCTTTTTGCACATAGCAAAGATTCATGGGGGAGGGGCAGTAGCTTTAAAGGTCATCTATGGGGAGGAAGGGGGAAGCCCCATCATCTGACCTCCCCTCCTCCTAATCTTTTCTTCCTAGTGACTCAGGCCTTAGCTCTCACATGGGCCTGTCTACCATGTAGACTGAACTGCCATCCCTGGGTGGAGAGAGTGGTTGGGAAAACAGCCAAGCACCCCCACCTACCTCCTATGTACCCCAAGCTCCAGTGTTAGCTCTCAACCCCAAGGTCCACCTCTTACTCTGTGACATATAGGGACCCATAACACTGTGCTCACTGTGCTAGCTCAGTGACCTTCCCAGGCCAGTGCCTCACACCTAGTTCCTGCCGGGTCCCAGTCTGAATCAGGGCCAGAGGGGGCTGAGAGACACCTGCTCCAGCGCAGAGTGGGAGCGCCCGGGGATTCAGCACCACACGGTGGACAGCTCCAGGCCCTGCGGATCTGTCAAGAGCGGGATCTGCTGGAGGCTGCTGGAGGCACTAGGCTAGGAGCCCCTGAGACTAGAGGTCCTGCGAAGTGGGAGGTGCAGGCCGAATTGGGGCGGGGGGGGGGAGAACGGGACTAGGAGTCCGGTGGAACGGAGGAGGGGCTGGAGGCGGGCCGGGGCCGGGGGCGGGGCAGGCCGCGATTGAAAGCGGCAGGGCGGGCGGGCGGAGAGTGCAGAACCAGCGAGAGAGCCAGCAAGCGGGAACCGGAGCCCCGCGCCAGAGCTGGGCGCGCCAGGTAGGGTTAGCCTGTGGTGCCGCGGTCACTGCCAACCTTTTTTAGCCCTGACCCCACAACCCGGGGCTCCGCGGGTCCTCGAGTTCTGGAGTACCCAGGCCGAGGCGTCCAGACAGCGCTTTCTGGGAGCTCCGGGAAGCGGGAAGACCGTCCCGGGCACCCCGCCTTCCCAAGAGAACGCACGCCCTGCATCGCGCTTCCCAGTGCCTCCTGCCCTAGCGTCCTCTGGTCCTTCTTTCTGTCTGTGCCTCTCTGTCTTTGTCTCAGCCTCTCAGGTTCGCTTGCCCTCTCAGATTTTTGTGGTCCTGCCCCTCAGCTGGACTCCCAGGTTCTGCCCCCTTCCCTGTCTCAGCTTCCATCAGGGCCTCCCTTGGGTTTCTGCCCCATCTGTGTTTGTCTTTACCCTTCATTCTCTCTCCTGTTTGCCTGGCTAAGCTGCTTCTTTGAGGTCCTCACAAGCTCCGAGTTCCCCTGCCCTGGCTCCCACAGAAGACTAGCCCAGTGAGAAGCCTTAGTCTCTGTGGCCAGGACGGGGGTCCTGGAACTAGTTGCTGTCCCCTTAAGCTGTAGTTTCCTTTTCAATCCCGAGGAAAGATGTGTCCCTCTCCCAGTCTGCATGATTTTAAGAGCCTGCCTGTGTAGGGATAATGTAGGGTGGATGACTAGGTGCAGGTGATAGGGTGCAGGCTGAAGAGGATGGGAGGGGAACTCTAAGGTCGGTCAAAGGCCGAGGAGGGGAAGGCTAGAGATGACATCTACTGGGCTTGAAGTGACCGAAGAGAGACACTAAGTCTCCAACGGCTTCCCATGTAAGGCTTGGGCATCCACAGCTCAGCTCCATCCCTGTTCAGAGGTGTCACCAGGTTAATTGTCCCCCACCTGTGACACACATATACGTCCACATCTATTTACTCTGTTGATTTAAGACTTAATTACATGGTACCTGCTCTGGGGCCAGTCCCTCTGCCTTGCTATCTCTCTGGGCTCAGGGTCTCTCCATTTCTTTCTCATTCAGGAGACTTGGGGGACTGGCCCTTTAAGAACCAGAGTCTAGCACCCTGGGTGTTCACTGGGGCTTCAGTTTCTGTTGGGCTTAAAACTATCCCATAGAGACTCTTCGCTCCTGTGGTGGGTCTTCCAGTGCCCCTGCTCTGGAAATCCAAGGCTCGCAATGGGAGCTAGACCCAGAGTGTGTAGCTGCCATGGCCTCAGCCACTATTCTATGGGTCTCCTAGGAGGTTAGCATAGGCCCTTAGGTTTGTGTAGGATTTGGCAAAGGCTAGTTGCCCTGCCCTCTGCCTGGGCCCCCACTCCCACCCTCCCTGCCCTTTTCTGAGTTTGGTAGGGACACGGAGCCCATCTCTAGCCAAGATTAGGGCAAAGCTGAGAGACAGACCTAGGGGGTAGCCCAGGAGCTTCTCAGCATAGTTAGTGACACCACCCTCATCATGACTCCTGAGTACCTGGGAAGGGGATGTGGGGAAGAACAGAGTCAGAGGGAAAGCTGGAAATAAATGGGAGCAGCCACTCTCTGGTTCTACTTTTCCCTGTTTGTCTGTCTATCTCTCTGCAGGAGCTGGCCCCCTTCTCATATCTCTTCCTGTCTGTCCTTTCCTGGCCTCTGTTTCCTCCTCTCTTTGCCTTTGCTGAGTTTATCCTCATCCCTTGAAGACCCTGGTCTGCTGGACCTAACCATCCCCTTTGGGGCCATGGGATCACTGCTTGGGTTTCTGGCACTGCTGCTGCTGTGGGGTGCTGTGGCTGAGGGCCCAGCCAAGAAAGTGCTGACCCTGGAGGGGGACCTGGTGCTGGGTGGGCTGTTCCCAGTGCACCAGAAGGGTGGCCCAGCAGAGGAGTGTGGTCCTGTCAATGAGCACCGTGGCATACAGCGCTTAGAGGCCATGCTTTTTGCACTGGACCGCATCAACCGCGACCCCCACCTGCTGCCTGGTGTGCGCTTGGGTGCACACATCCTCGACAGCTGCTCCAAGGATACACATGCCCTGGAGCAGGCACTGGACTTTGTGCGGGCCTCACTCAGTCGTGGTGCCGACGGCTCACGCCACATCTGTCCCGATGGTTCCTATGCCACCCACAGCGATGCTCCCACGGCCATCACCGGTGTCATTGGGGGCTCCTACAGTGATGTCTCCATCCAGGTATGTGGAAATCACCCAAATGGGTTTGAGGAAGGGAGGCTGGAAAGGGTGGTCCAGCATTCCTGATGAGAAGGGACTTCCTGGATGAATGCATTGGAAGGACACCACCATCATCCTTTCAATTGTTTCCTAAAAA